ATAGAGTGAATACTTGCTTACTCTGTGGAACTTAGGGTTGTAGATTGGGAGTGTTTATCCTTATTTTGGGGAAAAATATGAACTTGGAGAAATTAAATCTGCGGGGAGAACTTTAGGAATCATATTTTTTCTTAGAGCATGCCTAAGTTTTTTTTTGGCAAAAGGATGGGGAAAGCCGCCACTTTTAAAATTAAATTTAAATATAAGTACCGACTAGATTTTGGTAGCTACCTAACAAATCTATTAAGAATGATCAGTGACTATAGACCGTGTCGAGTCCGAACAGAGCTTCAGCCGTAACACGGTCACCGAGACGGTCCCGTACCTGTAATTTACAAAGACGTGCCTCGACCGAGCAATTAGGTAGGTACCGTTGCGCCGTGATGCAGTCTAATCATTCAGATAAAGTAAACAGGGTAAGTGTACTCATCCGAGGAAAACGGTTCTGTTTTGTCTGAGGTATCACTACGATTGCCCGGCGGCACCGCGCCGGCGCGGCGCTGTATTCATGCAACGGACCGTGGCCGAGCAGAAGCGGGAACAAGTTTTTTCCGAGCGTTTTTTCATTTGGTGCTCGGTTGTCAGTGGTTTACCGCACGGAATATTGTGAATGTGTCCATAATCCATAAAAAATATACTATTTAATATTTAATTAGTTAACAAGAGAAGCTCGATGGCGCAGGTGGTTAGCGCGTTCGGCTGCGATCGTTGATGTACGGCACGCCGGGCTCTAGCAGTAGCTGACAGTTACCAATTTGTTAAATTGTTGTTAAATTGAATTTGACAACTCTATATCTAATTTTAGTTAGTTTTAGATATAAGTTGGCACGCCAGAATTGGGCCCACTGTTCCTTTCCAGCATATTCCAATTACTAACCATAGTACTGACTTCTCAATCATAGCTGCATCCGTTCAAAATAAATGCTTTGTGTCTATATACACAGTCAGGTCATAAGTATTGTCACACAGTAAAAACTTTTATTTTAGAATGCTGGCCACAAAAAAGTTTATTGAATTCGAATTTCGAATTGTTCATGAAATAAAAATGTACACTTTTTAGAATTTTACTCATTTTTAAATATGGAGTGGACGCTTAAAGAAGACCGTGTTGCAGTTATTGCGCTGCACCGTTGCGGTTACGGGTCAATTCAATTTTTTGACATACTGAAAATTTTGAATATAACCAAAAGATTCGTATAACGTATAATCAAACGATACAATGAAGACTCTAGTGTAGATGACAGGTCAAGAAGTGGTCGCCCTCGGTCTGTTAGGACTCCAGCATTGATAAAAGCTGTGAAGGCGCGAATTCAAAGAAATCCCAAACGTAAGCAGAAACTGTTGGCCCTTCAGATGGGGATAAGCAGAACCACGGTGAAAAGGGTGTTAAAATAATGAAGACTTAGGGCTTCGGGCATATCGAAGAAAAACAGGACATCGTTTGAATGCTCGTCTAATGGACCTGAGACTGAAGGGATGCCGCGCTTTGTTGAAACGGTACGCGGGAAAAAAATATCGGGATAATCTTTATTCGGATGAAAAAAATTTTACCATAGAAGAGAGCTACAACAAACAAAATGATAAGGTGTACGCACACAGTAGTGAAGAAGCGAGCAACCGTATTCCGCGTGTCCAAAGAGGTCATTTTCCATCCTCGCTCATGGTATGGTTGGGAGATTCTTATTGGGGCTTAACAGAGGTACATTTTTGTGAGAAAGGTGTAAAAACGAATGCAGTTGAGTATCAAAATACAGTCCTGACGAACCTTGTGGAACCTGTTTCTCATACCATCTTCAATAACAGGCACTGCGTATTCCAACAAGATTCGGCGCCAGCTCATAGAGCGAAGAGCACACAAGACTGGCTGGCGGCGCGTGAAATCGACTTCATCCGGCACGAAGACTGGCCCTCCTCCAGTCCAGATTTGAGTCCGTTAGATTACAAGATATGGCAACACTTGGAGGAAAAGGCGTGCTCAAAGCCTCATCCCAATTTGGAGTCACTCAAGACATCCTTGACTAAGGCAGTTAAGTTCATTTTGGTATATAAATGGTTACATAATGAATAAACTTGTTTCAATTATTTTATTCCTCATCAGTCATCCTCTATGTTAAGATGAAGTAGCAGCTATTCCATCGCGATTAAACCTATTTTGATAATGGGTGATTTTAACGCTCAACATCGATCTTGGGGTAGTTCTAGCTCAAGCTATTATGGCGCTAGAATTTTAGATATTGTAGATGAGAATAACTTTTTTATTTTAAAGGTACTTAATTCCATTAGCTGTGGTTGAATTTCGGGGTAGTTTTAGTTTCGTGGTAGGATGCAGGGACTAGGGAAGTAAGAACCAGTACTTCTGCCTTATCTCCGGTGCTGCGGGAATAACAGCCCCTCCGTCTTTGCGTGACAAAGTCACAACCATCATTCCCCTTCACACCTTCGGCTTGTTGGTCGCCTCCTCCGGCGGCGACCAGCCTCAGGCGCTACGGATCGCACGATGCTTGCGGCTTTGTCACAGCAGGCGGGAACTGCTCTCCTTCCGCGCCTCCGGGATCAACACTCTAGGGGTAGGGCATACCAGGCCGCGTACTCAGCCCCCACGCGCGGGCCATCCTGCGCACGTCTGCGGGGTCCCCGCGATACCCTGGGAGACACCTGCCGCGGAGCCCCGGCAAAGCCGGAAGGCTGCTAGGTGCGGACGCGGAAGAATCCCTAAACGGGGATCCCGCGGCTTCGCGCTAAGCAGCTTAGAGGGTATTCGCAGGGTTTTTTAGCGGATATTATGCCGTAAAGCGCCCATAAGGGTTACGGGGTCCTCAGTGGGCCGCCACTGCTGCGGCTCGTAAGGCTTGCGGGAGCCTCACACCTGGCTCTGGTCCGTTCGGCGGTGTGCCTCTTAAAGGCGTCGTCGTCTGTAAATAGTATATTTTGCCTGCGTATAAAACAAGGGGTAGGGCAGACCAAGACCACGGCGTGTCGGGGTTGACCAAATCGGTTCTGAATTAAAGATTGGTGTAAAGCCACATTTACCTTTTTTTCTAAGTGTTGAGCCCATACTATTTTTTATTTATCAAGTAAATAATAATAGCAAATATAATTTTTACCGACGAACACAAAGACTGCCTGACGGATCTCAAAACAAACACAAAATGGCGGTAAATTGTCACATTTTGACAATAGTACCAACTTAATAAACTTTTTCTTACCATACGACAACGAGAAACATGCTATTTTTGCATGAAAAAATGGCAGCACTGATTCAAAATTATTAAAACCTACAAAAATATTAATTTTCAATATATTTTTTCTCGACTTGTATTAGTTTCCGCCTAAAGAGATTTCATGTACGTTTTTCTAATAATTAATACTTTGCATGACAAAAATTTCAGCTCGCAACTCAACCACAGCTAATGGAAAGCTGAGCCCCACCCCTAATTTAGCTTCTCTCTTTTCATGGAGCATGGTTTCCTCCACTTTCGGCAGTGACCACTTCCCCATATTAATATCATTCTCTAAAACAGTTATAAAATCGCGTCCTAAACGTTCACCTAGACTGAAACATAGAATTAACAATGACAGTGACAGCTGGGAGAAGTTTAAGGAGCTATTTGCTCAAAAAATATCATCTCTTCCCGCCGTTCAGCAAAATGACCAAAGAATGTGCGTTTTCGTCGGTTCTAATAGAGGCTGCTGATTTGACCTTTCCGCGTATAACAGTACAAATGAAAACTTTGACAACCTTTCCCATATAATAAACGAAACTCGTAAAGTACTAAAGAAAACAAAATGGTATTATTGGAAGGCATTTGTTCTTCCTTGGATCCTGATATTTCGCCATCTGCTATTTGGACTAATATCCGAAGATTTAGATCGGCGTTCAGAGAACCAACTCAAAAGTTCATAAATGAGGAAGTGGCTGATAAATTCCTCGATAAGTTAGCTCCCCCTTTTGTTTCCCCGGATTATACACCTTTATTCATATCTATTAACAACACGATTTATGTTGTCTTACTTTAAGTAGGAACGTATGCTAGTTTCATTTGCTCAATAGCGCGACGTTACCGTACCCTAGAACAAATCAGCACTCGATCAATTTTTACCGTGAAAGGTTGATTATATTTAAAGTAACTTATGTTATTTACGGAATTGCTACCATGTACCTTGTTTTTAGGGAGTTTCTGTTATTTCGGTACCGTTGCAAGCGCCATGATGACGTAGTATAACTGAAGTTATTGCGGGCAGGATGTTGTTGGCAGACAGACGAGCATACTTAGAAGAACACATTAAAAGTGACTTATATGAAGTAATTGCTTATTTATAATACGTAAAACCTTACATTGATAAACAAAACCTAAAAAAAAACAATTTAAGAAACCACAATAACACATCTACGGACTCTATGCGAGGCATGGCACGCACTTGGCCGGTTTTTTACGGTACTAGTGGGATAAGTCAGTGACATATCTTCATCATGCTACTGCCTAATCGGGGGGCACGGCAGTGCCCCCGCCAAGTCGAGCGCGAAGCAAACACTGCCGTACTATCCTTTACGGGAACCATTTCGCTGCATTTTTAGGCCCCTATCTGAAAACCTCTGGCTAAGACCAGAACGCAGAAATTTTCATCATCCAGTGAGCTATAATCACATACTCAAAATCCAAAATTTCAAGTCTGTAGTAGTCTGTCATTTAGTTCCGAAGTTAAGCGAAAGAAAAGTTTCGCATTTATGACACTCACTCACTCATGATCATCAGAATAGAACTAGTACTTCCCATAAACTCAGAGAGCTGAAATTTGGTACAGACTTAGGGTTTAATGGCCACATAAAGGGAAAATTATAAAAACTAGGATAATCGAAGATCTGGAGTGTTTGTTTTATTGCAAATTGTAAATTACTTTTTTTTAATTACAACGATAACCTCAGGCGATATGCAGTTGTTCGGATTAAATAGTAGTGAGATCTTGATTTATTTCTGTAAGTTAAATAAAAAAACTAAATTTTTGAATTCAAACGTTTATCCATGTTTTTACATCATTACAAGCAAAACAAAATCAATTGTGGATTTCATTGGCGATAGACGAGCGATAATTTCTCTCTTTATGTAAAAGTATAGCACATGCTATTAAAAGCAGTAATAAAACTAATATAACTCCACACATTGCGAAGATACCACCACGTAGTCTGTAATCATCTGTAAACATAACACACTCAAAAAGTATTCTTCTCACCATTAATACTATGTAAAATAAATAAACTGTAACCATACATAGGGGAAAAGCAAGATAGTTGCCCCATTTTTCAATAAAGTTCTATTTTTCATAAAAAAGGACCTACAAGTAGTGAATGAATGAATAAATTACTATTCTTTATTGCACCGTCACAATTTTACAGAAATATAAAAAAACAGAAATGTAAAAACAAAAGGCGGCCTTATTGCTAATGTAGCAATCTCTACCAGACAACCTTTGGCTAAACGAAACCATACCAAAGAAGATAAAATAATTGAGGACTAGTGCATAGAGTTAAATAAGCAAGTAAGAACACTGTAAATATAAAATAAATATACGTAAGATATAAATTATAAGTAATACAAAGTAATACTTTTACAGAGAAAAAGATGAGGCAGAGTCAGAGAGAGAAGAAAATGTCCTTAATTTTAATAAGAACTCCCGTGACTGCGCACGTTTGATATCTACAGGCAAAGATTTCCAAAATTTTATTGATCTTATAGAGAAGATTTGGCTACATAATCAGTAGACTGGGATGAATAACTCAGAATAGCCAATGAAGTAGGGAACGATAATAAGAGATTATGTCGTACTTACGCAGACATAAGTGACGCAGATGCAGTTAGTGATGCATTATGTATATCAATAGATAGGTCCTTTATTTTTCGTAGTAGTCTTTTGATTAACGTTAAGGAATTGATTATTTGAGCAATTTTAACAGTAGCTACTTCAATAAAACGTTCAACTCATTATTAGTTTAATCGATTAATTCCAATATAATAGCAAACTAACTTCCTTTATACGCTAAACGCTAAGTTCCTGTATACATTAAATATTTTAAACATTTTTTTTTAGTTTTACCACTACCTAAAACATACTTTTTATCTTAAATTACTTAATTTTAATGCTTAACATGGTAAATATAAAAAAAAAATATTTGTTCAAGATGAGTACCAAAATGGTTGTTCTCCTTTGTATTTCTCCGTTGTACGTTTGTGACTCAATAACGCAAAACTACTGGTCGGATTTCTATGAAATTTGGTGCACATATAGTTTATGACCAGAAAACTCTAATAAGGCCTACTCTAATTCAACGAAAAACTAAATTTAAATCGAAACTTCGCACTTTTCTTACTATGTTTCTGGTTCGTTTTAAATATAAAAATAATCATCATCGGAATATAGATTGAGGTGTATATTTTCTAAGCCTACTCAAAGAAAGCTTCAATTTGATAGTTTATCATTCAAATTAAGTATACATTAAATTGACCAAATTCAATTTCGTTACCGAAAGTTTGTTTCGGAGAAAGAGAGTAGACCCACTGTATTGAGACATAGGGTACTTTATCCCAGAAAATTGTCAGATTCCTGAGGGATTTTCAAAAAACTAAAGTTAACGCGGACGAAGTCGCGGGCGGCCGCTAGTTTAATGAATGAATGAAGGATCACTTTATTGTACACCATGAAATTGTAAATTACAATTCATTAAGACTATTGCATTATAGTACAAACGGCGGCCTTATCGCTAAGAAGCAATTTCTTCCAGGCAACCGTATATAATACAGATATATAATAAAATGAGACGTTAGTCAACGTTTTGCAGAAGAAGTTACTTGCTCGCACGGAAATATCCAGTGGGCCTGCTTCTATGACATGTTATGCGACATGTTAGAGCCTTCGGGCAAGATTTTTTTATGGTATAGAAGAGCACTAACTCCTACAACATCTATAATAACATTAGTGTACTCGAAACCGGGGCAAGTATCCAACTGCGACTATCCGGCTTTTACCCTTTAGATAATGGTAGATATACTAAAAACTACAATAAGATTCACCTTTTTGTGATGTTAGTTGTTCTGTATGAATAGATGTAGAAAAATAGCTATTCAGCTGTTGCAAGTACTGAAGCCAAAATGTAGTATCTCTGTTGACATTGTTGGTATTGACCATATCGTTTCCATTATTGTGTACACCGTGTACATAAGCATCTCCAACCTTATATCTCTTCCAAACATTTTCAGATGTTGGTGATCTGAGGATAACGCAAAAAATATATAATATTAAAGACTAGGTAGGTACATGCATTGAGTGTTTGATTTGATACCGCCATTAACTTGAATAAATTTTTACCCGTCTGCGCACGCAAGCAAAGCGAAGCGTGACACGCAGACAGGAAATTGTGTATATCAGTCACTTTGAGTATGTATGTTCCTTTGTGACACATGCACACCAGAGATCAAACGCGTGGACCGACTTTGATGATTCATACGTCAATCGATTCGTCTTAATCATGAGAGTGCTACTTAAAGACATGAACTAAATTCAATATGAGGACAGTAAGGCGCCATATTGTAAGAAAGCAAAACTATAAGTTGTTGAACTATGTCGAGTGGGATATCATATTGTCTAGGTAATTTTTTTTTTATTTATTTACTTGCAAATCATGTTTAGGTTTCTTACATCATTGTTTTATTTTTACGAGTGTTTAGGATCTACAACGATTTAAAGTTGTATATCAACCACTTGCGCTTTTAATTTCAATCTTACGTTTGTATGGATCTTTGTTACCCTTTCACGCAAAAGTAACTGAATGGTTTTTAATGAAATCAACAATAACATGATAGTTCATAAATAGTAATATTATGTAGATTATAATTTATGAAGCTAATGAGTAGATTGGGCAAAATATAATAATAAGGTGTCACATAAGACGGAAAAAATCTCACTTCTGCGAGTCATTTTGGCCTGCTCTGCAAAAACCTAGAGTTACCTACCTGCGTGAATATAATGTATAGTGAAATGAAAAGTGAAATCTTTTAATTATTTCTACAAATAAGTCCGCGACAGCATATGCTGTGATATATATATATATATATATATATAGTAGGATCAGTGTGGCCTTCCGCACTGGTCCTGCTTGAGTAGGATCGGCACTGTTTCCCGTGCCGGCGAGTCCCACACACGCCGTGCGCCTAGTCAGCGTCACGGTATGGTGCGAACTGCATTTCCCCTCGTCACAAAAAAAAGGGCATGGAAGCGCAACAAACAAACTCACTTTCGTATCTATAATATTATATTATACTTACTAGTGATCCACCCGGGCATTGTACGGGCGAAATTTATTTATCGGGATAAAATATAGCCTATGTCACTCGGACAAAATCTATTTAAATAAAGAAAAATGTTATAATAATTAATGTAGCTACCTTATGATGAGTTAATATTTGAAACCGGTTCAGTAGTTTGACAGATTATTTGTTACAAACATACAAATCTTGCCTCTTTATAATATTAGTATAGATAGTTAGTTAGGTTAAGATAAGTATTTAATTGATGAAAAAGATTTAAAAATAAAGTAAGTAATAGGTTTATTTGATTACATATATTTGTAAAAGTTACTTAGTATTTGTGCTTAACAGTGATACGTTATTCGGTATTTTTATAACAAAAAAAAAAATTTGGAAATAATTGCCATGATTGCACTACTGGGAGTACTCTTCATTCGAGCTTTACACTACCAATAAATAAGGGTCGAACACAAAGTCTTTGACCTGTTAAATGTGAACGCTTTAAAAGAAAACTACAAAGAGAACTAACTATAAATTGATAATAAATGAGATTGCTATGGTGCTCTACTTAACGTTATGAAATTTTTATTATGCGCCTTTAGTTTAATCAAATATTATAAACTTTGCTTTGGTGATTGCATAATTATTTAATTTAGTGATCTAAGGCAGTTGTAACCATTGTCCATAACAACAGACGGGAATTACTTCTTTCTTCAACCTACGACATAAACGTAATTGATTGGTATTGTATATAGGGTAATTAAAAACATTTGAAGTTAACTTCTGGCATCTACATATTGGGTTTCTGTGAATTATGTAGGTATATCAAATTATGAGACTAGGGACTGACACTGAATTTGTGTATATCACAATCTTAGACGTCCGGCATTGACATGACAATGCAGCCACTACCAATTTTAAATAGTCGATGAATAAAAGTAAATGAATTTTATATTTACTGCTAAACTATTAAAACAACATAAACAAAAGATGACTTTTTGAGTAAGTGCTAATTTACTATAAAATTTACATACATTAGAGATATTTATGTAACGACTTGATTTAACTTCACAATTTTTTGCGAAAATTGAGGCCCATCTGTAGCCTTGACCCCGCTGGTAAAGTCTTTATATGTCTTAATAAATCAATCTTTTAAAACAACATAAACAAAAGATGACTTTTTGAGTAAGTGCTAATTTACTATAAAATTTACATACATTAGAGATATTTATGTAACGACTTGATTTAACTTCACACATTTTTGCGAAAATTGAGGCCCATCTGTAGCCTTGACCCCGCTGGGTAAGTCTTTATATGTCTTAATAAATCAATCTTTTAGACCGACGCAAGGTACTTAATAATTCCCGCGATATTAATTCCCTTACTGAAGTAACAAGACTACGGTGTATACCGTCTTAAAATACTAACTAAAAAGTGTGAAATAATAAAGGTAAAATTAAAAAATCAAAATCCCGACTGCTTAATTATTCTTCAAATAAAAACTGAAAAGAAAAAACCAAGTCCAGTAGTCTATAATTCTGTTAATAAGGAACAAAGCTACTTTAACAGTCGGGACCCACTGTTGAAAAATAGTATGTATTCTTGAATATCTAATTGGTCCCGACTGTTAAAGTAGCTTTGTTCCTTAATAACAGAATTATAGACTACTGGACTTGTTTTTTTCTTTTCAGTTTTTATTTGAAGAATAATTAAGCAGTCGGGTTTTTTGATTGATAACGCTAGTATCATGATGAGAAATTACACCCCTTCTGTTGATAAATTCCGGCCGCTTTCTCTCAACTCTTTGCTTTAATATCATCAGTTGTTCGCAGTAGAGTTCAGAATGGATGGTTCTGCCTGGCGGTAACAGCTCATAATGAATAACGCCCTTCCAATCCCACGATACACACAGCATCACCTTGTTGCGAGTTAACCCGGGTTTCGCCAGAGTCTGTGAAGCCTGACCGGCTTTTGACCAAGACTTTTTTTTCGCACGTTCTTGTCATATGTGATAAACATTCCATCACCAGATATCAGCTTCTTCAAAAATAGTTCGGTTGCATTACGTCGTAATAAAGAAGCATAAATGAGTACTCGGTTAATTAGGTTTCTTTTAGAGAGCTCGTGAGGAGAGACCCAAATATCGAGCTTTTTTATGTACCCAGCTTTTTTCAAATACACCAAAACTGTTTTGTGGTCAATTCCCAGTTCTTCAGCTACATCGTAAATACTAATAGCCCGTTTTGCTCCACTTTTTCAAAAATGGTATCTATTTTATCCCTAACAGGGCAACTAGAGCGACGACGTGCATTTTTGACATTAGAATTTCCAGATTGAAAACGCTTAAACCAAATATATGCTACTCTCACTGACACTGCACTAGATCCATAAACATCACAATTTTTTTCACGGCTTGTATAGCGTTTTTACCCCTGTTTGTAGAAAAATTCAAAATTTTACGAATTTCTTCGTTAGATTCACTCATCTTGTAAGAAATATTTTCTATTGAATTTCTTTAAAATATAATCTTTTTAATCATACCAAAACCAGCCAGATACAAATATAGTGTAGCCAAAGAGATTTTATCAAGTTCATACATTGATGCGAAAAGATATTATCAAGTTAAAATCTAAATCCGAAGTTTTAGTTTCCCGTGATTGTTGTAAAAGGTACAAAATTTTCAATACATAAAATTAGCCACATATTTTACAAAATTCCTTGTTTCAATGCCCCATCTCATTGTAATGTTTACAAAATTGTAAAGAATTCAATATATATATAATATACATTACCCAAATTTTATGAAATTTATGATATATTGGCGAAATAATGAAGTGATTTGCTTTTGATCTTGAGAACTTGATTGACGTGCCACTTGTAGCATCAGAGCGTCTCCTAATAGAGCTATTAAATCAACACCATGCACAGCGCCTAGAAATCAATTTTGAATATTATTTAACTACACATATAAATTTCAACAAATCATGCAGACTTTTTATGAAGACTTCCAAGTCGAGAATTATATTTTTTAAAAATTATATAATAAGCTTTGTAATGCAGCTAAAGCTATAAACTGTTTGTTTAAGGATAAATTAGGTAAATTAAGTGCTTTGTGATTCCTACATTAACAGGGAATCTACTAAAACTAAGTTAAAAAGTATTTACTTGAAGGAATAGATTTATACTTAATTTTTAGTGAATTTTGCTTATATGAAATCGGTTTTTTTATTGTAGATTTAAGAGTATCGAGTTTTTATCATATGAATTTCTCTAACGACTGCTCATGGTACAACAAAGTACGTGCGTGAGAGCGTCGCCGCTCAGCAAACGCCCTCACATACACCACATAATGATGTTTTACCCATTTCGAACAATAAAAATGATTTTCAACTAATATGAAGCCCAAATTGTTGAGTTTTTCCATTCTTATTATTAGGTATTGTCATATGCGGCCACATCTAAATGTAATAATAGAAATTCCTTCATTACTTTCTTACCTGTAAAATTCAGACGATTTCCTTGGAGATCAACGCTACCTGGTTGTAGGTAGCGATAGACATAAAGGCGTGATAACTTCCGAGCTAATCTAGCAGCTAACAAAGCACTACCAACACCCCATTTAACTGAAGATTCCATTCTAGCCAGCCCTTCTATAGCATTTAGAGTTCCTCTTTCAGTGTCTTTTCTTCCTTTGGCACCCCAATATTCCCAGCGAATAGCATGTGCCAACTATAATTATAATATTAAAATTATCACCTTACAGAAATACTTAAGGTCTGTTATTTCTATTTCTCATTTCTGTCGGTTGCTAAGGTTTCAGGGCTCCACGGAGTTGAAGAATAGGATAAGAAAAAGCAACGCGTGGATCGTACCCTGGATCGCAACTGTCTACAGGCATTTGCTCTAAGACAGGCATGCATAGTCTATGGCGGCCAATTACTATTCAGGTGGGTAAAATGCTAAATTCCCACTCCGTTATATAAACCAAATTAACCAAGTAAATCCAAAAGTAATAAAAAACAAAATAACTACTCCCGTAATAAAATCATACTAACCAATGGAACTGCATCACTTTGGTCCAATGAAAAGAATTTCAATAACTCTGGTATTTTCTTTGTATTTGCATATTCAGCAATATATGAAAGGGAACGTTGGCTTAGATCTGCATAATAATCATCTGTAACAAGTAAGCAGATATTCTTCAATTAACAGTTAAAGATATTGACTTTTCACTGGTACATTAAGTAAGTACATAATATAGCGTTTTATGGTCAGTGTAAATCAACGTACAACGTAGGGTAGAGCAGAGATTTTGTATTTATCAATATCAACGTGAATTATCCTAAAAACCATATAATAATAAACAAATATTATCCTTAAATTTTATACCTAAAGTAGTGAAATGAAATATACTTAATTGGATAACTAAATTCAAATACCACAGACATTGACATATTTTATATCTTTTTTGTAAATCAATCACCGTAGAGAGAAATCCCCTTTCGCGCTCCGCTGTGGCCGTTTCCCTTGTGTATTTGAACTTACGATTTATATCTGGTTATCTCTTGGTTGGTTGATAACCACAGGCCATCAGGTATACCTACCACTGTGGTTTACATCTTCTAAGTCCGTTGATCCAAAAAGCAAGTCAAGTTGCATCGTAGGCTGATTGGAAGCCGAAAGCGCAGCTGCTAATGAAATTGGTAAGTACTGTTCTGAAGTTGGCAGAAAATCGTCTGTTATTAATTTTAAAACCTTGCTCCAATTTGCATTCTGCAATCAATAAATAGGTATGTACAGTAAACTTTATACTTTGTAACAGGAACATAATTATTGAAATATTCCATATCGTATCGTAATATATCTATCGTATAAGGGCAGATTTAAAAAAAATCTTATACCTACAGATAATTTCTGAGAGATATTTTATCATTTTGGTATATATCCATGAAAATTTGCACTCTTATAGTAGTTAGTTACTAATAGTCTAAGCTATGAACTAAGTTGCAGAGAGACAGATGGATGAATAGCAATAGCGCCTTTGAGGCTAGGCGCTTTGATTTGGTCGAGTTGTGAATAATATTTTTTTCAAGGCTCAGATTATAGATTACAAAAGATTTCAAAAACAAAAAACAAAATGATTCATGCAAGGAGCTCTGTTGTAAGATGAATGTCTATTTAGGCACAGTTAGCAAGGTAGGCAGGAACTATAAGTTTAAGTAGAATTAATAAGAAAGTGTCAATTAAATATATGAAGTAATACCGAATACAAAGAAACTATATCAGCTACTGGTCTTTCTCGCATACAGTGTAATATCTCCTGATCTATAGTGCTCGTACACCCGAGCATTTTAGCCGCTGAGCGAGACAGTTGTTCAATTTCTGAAGCGTTTACTGCTTTGCTTTCATCCACAGCCTTCCAAATTTCACGTGGTGACATTAATATCGCCCTTTGAAACAGTCCTGTAAATGAAATAAATAGTAGGTAGTTATGTCATTATTATTCTGCTTTCTTAATTCAGGAGGTTTTACATGACCTCCTTTGATTAAAACAAATTGTTATAATCTAAGATGACCTTATAAAAAAAACTCACGGGGTTGGATCTGGGGATCTCAAAGCCTGTCCGATTTGTTAATGAATACCCATCCAAGCAGGAAATAAGCCTGTCATTTGTTATAAAGTTAGTTGTATTTTAATAAGCAAAACATAGAGAAAAGGTATTTTATTATTTTGAACAAAATTTTAACCCATATCTTATTTTATTTCTCAGCTCGTTTTGCTATTCCACTTCATAATATTCAGCCACTAAAATACGAAATAACATTCCCTCTACCTCTCCGTGTAGTAAGTTTCGTCTGTAATTTCAAAAGGAAACAGAAATCTTTTCGTTGCACAAATTGACAGTGTAAAAAAGTCAGATAAATTTGTATTTTATTGTAGGCAATTGTTAACCTATGTTCTTAGATTAAAACAAAAAGGGTTTTAATCTAAGCCTATGTTATTTTATGTTCTGCTCAACAAATGTATTCCTATCCTTTTTTTTCTATTTTAGATACTATATTTTCGAAAATTTCTATCAGACGATAATTCATTATTTAAAAATCAGTGAATGCAGTTCAAATTTAGTTATAAATATTCTAGATAAAAAATAATAATAAAAAAACTTTTGTCCTTTTTTTAAAATTCTGATTTATTGATTTAATACTTAAAAAACTGGAAGGTTCAAATAATTTAAGTCTGATAAGAAATATAGCGTGTGATACTCCCTGGCAAGACTCATTCATATGCATATGTTACGCTCAAAGATCGAAAATGCTCAGTGAGCGGAAAAATAGCTCACAACGCGTTGTGGTCACAGTAAAACATCCACATAGCGAAATTCGTGTTATGGCTCTAATGAAAACGCGCACGACGCGTTGTGGCAACAGAAAGACCAAATAGCGAAATTCGTGTCGTGGCTGACATGCTATTCGATCTCAAGGCGTTGTGGCAACGAAGAAAAGCCATGACGCTTATGGAATATTATTTGATTGCGACGCACACTATTTTCCGATATGGATCCTACTAGGCCTAGGCTGGAAACGTTTTGGTAGATCGATAGATGTCTTTAGGAAATATTTTTTATTTTATATAATCACTGTATAACGTGTTTGTCATTATTAAATATGTTATATAATTATATAAATTAAAATAAAACGATATTTGTTATTTATTGAGATAATTTTATATTTAAAAAAATCAACGTATTAAGTAATAAATTACTGAACACAAAATATTAATCATTTGTAAATTACTTATAATTCACTTAAAATAATTAGGGATTTTAATTTTTTATGACTATTTAAAATTCTTTCAAGTAATAAAAATATTTAACACAAACATAAATGTTTTTTGATCACCAATAAACAACAACAATGTACTTAAATCAATTACTTACATCAATTCAATAGTTTGATTGCTATTAACGATTTAATGGGGTCCTGCCAGAAAGCATACTCCCCAGCAAGACCCATGCGTATTTAGTACTTTTTATTATTATTAATGATGTCAAAAAAATACAGTTTTTAAATCAGTCATAACACTAAATTATTGCTTTTCATTAAGGGAATGATAATATGATTAATTTAATATTACGCAATGGAAAAGAATAATGTACCTGTTAAATATACCTTCTTATTTCTTATCAGCCTTATTATTTATAATTTTTTTTAGTTTATTTTATTAACAAGCAATAAAAGATTTTTAATGTTTTTTAATTAATTTTTAACTTTTTATATTTATGATTCGAAATTCAAGCAATACATTTCGCCTTCTCTGAATGTCGTTTTCTTTGTGTAGTAGTTTCTCTTTAATTACGTTGTTCCCACAGTAATATATGAAATAAACAGTGCATCCTGCCAGAGGAGATTACTTAAAGATATTTATTATCTAAGACAAAAATACTCAAGACAAATCAAATGAGCCCATACGGTGTATGGGCTTGTATGGTATACACGATGAATGACGTTATGTCGTCTTATAACGGTGTTCCTATGGCCAACTTCCAGATCCATCATCAGACCCTGGATACCATCTAAATACTAAGTACTCGTCAAGACGTATCAAACAAGCCCAAATTTGTTGGGGTATGCGTCGTTTTAATACTGAGTTTTTACGGCCACCTTCCACCTCCATCATCAGATCAGCTATAATATACCATATTTTTGCATTGTCATCAGACCTACATCAGTATACCAAATTTCAGTTGAATCAGATAACAAGAAGTGGTCGAAAATGGTTTACAAATTTTGAAGCTACATATTACATACGAACAGTGCAAGTAAAAGGTTGTAAAATGTTATATGAACGAATACTTAATTTTTAATTTACTGCTAGTCGCATATTACTATACTTATCCTCTAGTAGTAGGAGAGCCCAAGAGGCTATATAGGGTCATGGGGACATGGACCGGGACATTGGATTGTGAAGGTAAAAAATAATAAATCTTTATTTTTTTCTTTAGTTAAAATATTTGGAGTCGGTTCCAGTGCCAGGCAAATAGTAAATGGAAACTCAGATCTATCAGACCTGCATGGCACCAACTCCAAATATTAATTTGACTAAAGATAAAAAGGGTTTATTATTTTTTACTTTTCGGTGGTTTTTAATTATTTTGCTAATAAGTTTATATTTTATTATAAACATTTTTGTGGTCATAATTTTTGTAATATAAAACTGTAATTTATGTGAGCCCAACATTGATGTATCTTCTTTCTTAATAAAAAGAATTATCAAAATCGGACTACTCTGTAAAAAAGTTATGCGTGGTCGTACATTAAAAAAATTACGCGTCGGCTTGAGAGAACCACCTCCGTTTTTTCGTCGATTTAAAATTAAATGCCTTTTCTCTATGTTCTACTCATTACAATACAACAGAATTTATGTTTTTATTTTTACTTTATAATTACAATTATACTCACATTTATTTCATTTCACTGTTAGGTTTTTTTATAAAATAGATATAAAAGTAAAATACAAACATAAATATAGTAAAAAAAACTAACCTACAAGGCCATCAGCAGCGGAGCTAGGCCCAAGCTACCGGTGGTTAGGGCCGCAGAGAAAGAAACCGCCTGACGATGCGCGCTGTGTCCAGGAGTACTGCTTTTGCATCTGCCCCTTGACCCAACCATCTAGCGAGAGGCTCTTAAGATGTTGATCGAGACTCTTCGCTATGAGACCGTTCACACTAACGACTATAGGGACAATGATCGTCGAATCCGCATCCCACAAAGCGGTTACCTCGTGGGCCAAGTCCAGGTACATGCTGAGCTTGTCCTTCTCGGCCTTCACGAGGTTCTCGTTATGCGAGATGGTGATATCGATGGGCACTGCCTGGCGTTTCAATCGATCTGTCAATACGATATCAGGCCTATTGGCAACAATAGTCCTGTCCGTAATTACAATTATTATTATCATTAAAAATTATTATATTAAAAGTATTAAAAATTAAAAAGACAAACTTATTTTCATTTTCCTGTTTGGATTGACAAATGGACAAACTCATAGACAAATCAGATGTAGGTAATATAATAAAAAAATAGTGGGAATTGCATGTTCAGTCTCGATGTTATAATTAATAATTAAATTGCTATTGCATAACTTAACAATATAATTAAACCAATTGATATCGAAGATAAATTCTGAGTAGATATTGGGTTGAATATTGTGATTGATTTTATGAGCTCTAGAGGCATTTTTTTCAAGGACATCTGAATCAGGCGTCTTGACCATGTCGTGACAGACTAGGAGTTAATAAATTATGATGCTAAAATTTTGAAGTTATACTTCTTTAGGCGCGTTATGAAAAAATGATGAGAGTGAAATTTTAAGATGCGCGCGCATCACTGTAACACAAAATTTTAACAGCATGAAGTTGGTCGCTTTAGCGACCAACTTCATGCGTTACTTTTGTGTTTACCGCACATTAAGAAAATCTACCAACAAAATAGAAATAGAATCTCTATTTAGTGGGTGCTAACAACTGCATTGTGAAGGCCTATCAAAAGTATTTATTAATCTGGAACAACGGAACCAAAGCGCGATTCAGGAGACTACAGCGCCATCTCTTGACTATTGGTGTAGTAGAACCAAAAACCACATCTTTATTTTTTGTAATAAAGTAACAGTTATAGGTATTCATATTTATAATATTTATCCACATGTTTCTAGTTTGTATATTCGGAATACGTGTTTGAGTTTCATACAAGAGCAAATCACATATGTTCTAATAAATTATATTGAGTAGCGATTTTAATTGAATATTTTGATTATTTATTTATTTTTTCCAATTAAAACTGAACTTTATTGACTGTGTCCTTTTCCAGACTTTTTATTAATTTATTGTAATTAATTATTTGCATGCAATTAAAAACTAATTTTAAACGATGCCAAAGAAGGATAACTTCTCACGCGCCTACATAAGTACACGCATCCATTTTTTTATGCATAAATATCATTTATGTGTGTGTTCATTTATGTCACAATACAAGTAAGTATTACAATAACAACAAAAAGCTCTTAAATACATAAGCGAGGTGATCAACATTATTTTATAATATTTACCAGCTGTTCGTGGCGACACAATATGATGCAAGACGCTATCCGCTCCAGCAGAATGTCCAATAAGAACTATTGCTGACGGATCTCCTCCAAATGCCGATATGTTATCGCGAACCCATAAAAAGGCCATGTACTGGTCAAGCAAAGCAAGATTTCCTCTAGCAGAAAGAGACCGTAAAGTAAAAAACCCCAGTAAATGCAGACGATACGACACTGTGACGACAACAATGCCTTCAGCAGCCAACTCCTGGCACGGTAGTGAGACTCCTACGCGATCCCAAGACTCGCTGTATAGTATAATAGCCACCGGCATCGACTTTCCATCAGGACGCTGCCTGAAACATTGTAAGTCTTATCAAACAGTGCTAAGACCAGCCGGCCTATTCGCTAACGTTTTTGAAATGTACAGTGCATAACTAAAGAGAAAATTGCATATCCATCGATGATTTTCAGAACAAGTATCTTGGGGCCGTTATAATAAAGCAGTAGTGGATCACAAAATAGCTCGGTGATTTATCACTTCCATCTGTCAAAAGCAGTTAGCGAATAGGCCTCCTGATTTTAATTCTAGTAGATGTATGGCACAATATACTAACCCGTGACGTCCATATGTTTAGGTAAAGACAATCTTCGCTGTAACTTTCTCTTTTATTATCGTCATCAGTTTGAGGGCAACGTGGAGGCATCCGATGAGCAAAAAATGTTCTCCTCCACCCTGAATGTCGCTCCGGCGCCTTTAAGATCATAATTCAATGGTCATCAGTTATAAATAAATATAATGTATGTACATCTTAAATTATTTATGAATTATTCGACTTAACTCTACTTCACTTACGGAAAATCTAAATCGCCCGGTGGGAGAAGTTGCATAAGGAACGCCAAAGAATATTTCTACTGGATTTAGAGAATTTTCAGTATATACTTTTATCTGAAATGTATTAAAAGTAAAATATTATATAAAAAAAATATTGAGAGATATACAGGGACCTTAAACTAAAAACCTTATAACTAGAATATATTATTAAAAGGAGTCCCTTTAGGCAAGGTTCCGAAGATACTGACAGCGTTTCCCCTTTGAATATCTAAACTAATTCTTTGTCCGAGGTAGCTGTCAGCTCTTCGGTCTTTAGTGATGTCGACTAACCTTTTTGATATTTCCTTGAAAAACCTTATAGCGCTCGGACCCCGCGGACCAAGCGTCTCGCCACGGAATGGGACAAATCATATTCGGAGCATGCTTTAGCTTTTTCAGCCGCTTCACAAGCCGCAACAGCTCTGTTGTTGGTTCCATGTAGATGGGAAGGGGCCAGCGTGTCTGAACAGTTTGCATCCCATACCAGTACCCGGCCCATCTTCCATGGAATCATATTCATACCGTCCGGTCTCTTGCCATCGTCTCTTGCAATACCAATCGACTCAAGTAGACTTGGCACGTTAACGGTGGCAAGGGCGGTCCCTTGTCACACTTGTTACACAGGTATGATATCGTTAAGTGTGGTATGTCTCGAGAAGCGTCCTGCACTTTTTAGGCATGACTGTCCGTGATGTCCTAGCTTGTCGACATCACTGTCACAGAGACATTTATGAGGAGCGCTGACCGAAACCCTAAGCCGTAGACAGGTTGCGATTTGGAGCGTATCCGGCTCAAGAAATGTTCCTGTATTTGACGAAGGGTACGCGTGAACCCAGTAGCCGGCCTCATGCGCACCCACGGCCAAAAGCTTAGCACGCGCCGAACCTGTACAGCTCAAATGATTTTCAAAAGTCATTTTACAGTTTATGTCTTCCCAGCTTCTCTGTGAATTTGTAGAAACTGGAAAATTTTGACCTGGGCATGCAATTAAAAAAGCGTTTCTAGATTCTTCCAAGCCCGCAATGGCAAAGTTTGAAGGGGATGCCCTTAAAATTTTACTTATGAGATTTGCTGAACTATGGACAGAGGATAGAAAGGCTGGTAAAGAGACACTGGAAATTTTGCGAATCCCTAATCCACCATACCGGATGGGTAGGGATGCTTGGGTCCAAGATTGCTCGTTCAGCTGCATATTAAGAATCGATTCTAAGCTTATTTTGATTAAGTCGTCTACTTGTGTCAAAAGATCTAGGTGATTCCAAAAGGAGCAGCAAACGGAGCACATACGTAAATTTTGGGACGAAAAAAATTTGAAGGAGACGGTCAACAGAATTTTGTAATTTAGTAATTGAATTATTAATACATTCAGAAATAGATTCATCAAAAATTGGAGAACCTAAAAGGTAAAGGGAATTACTGTTAACTATTTTAATATTTCGAGCCAACATATTAAATTTTTGTTTTACGTCATTTAAATTTAAGTCGCAGTTATTTATAAAAAAAAGTCGCATTTGCTGAAATTAAGCTCCAAAACGATGGCTCCAAATATATTTTTGATTAAAAAAAAAGGTCCGAAAACACAGTATCCACATCACCTCCTAGGGTTCCGTCGTCCAGGGGTGCCTCGCCAGAAACCTCCCCGTGTGGCTCGTGCATATTCTGTCCTGTGGCTTAGGCCTAGGGAACGGAAATGTGCTGGTCCGGTGCACTCTGGGCAACTATGTATGAGGTATCCGCAAGGACACCTCATGCGTAGGCTCATAGCTGGCAATCTCGTTACCCCGTACGTGCTGCGGGGCCGAGGGCCACCATCCTTCGGGGTGGGGGCTGCGAGGTAGAAAACCTCTATAAAAAATCAACCTGAGTGAGGGGCATAGAGTGGCCCCGGTGTCGGAGGGCAGAGCACTGCCTAGAGGAACTTGTAACCCTGTACGCAGTGCGGGGCCGAGGGCCGCCAACTTCTGCAGAGGGTGGGGGCTGCGAGGAAGAAAACCTCTGTAAAAAAATACCTTGGTGAGTCTCTGCTGGCGCCCCGGGGAGCCTGGGTAGCGGTGGTCGAGACTGTTAGAGGGGCGGTAACGCCTGTTTGGTGAGGGCGGTTGTGGTGCGAACTCCGCGCCACCTCCGGCCGACCCGTAATCCCGCACGTGATGTGGGAGCGGGAGCTGCCACCTGTCGGGGCGGGGCTCAAAAGGAGAAAACCTTTTCAAAAATCAAATTTGATGAGGCCAGGTAGGGTTCCCTCGCCCGGAAGAGGGAAAAACCTTTATGAAAATGTCCGATATTGTTGATTGTCTGTCATGCGCTCCCGTTGACGCCGGGCGCTGTGGGGTAGCTGGGCCCCAGAGTGAGAAGTTTGTTTTACTAGCGGCTTATGCGCTCCGGCTGGCCACCGGCGCTGCGGGATTACCGGGTCCCGCAGTGGTAAGTTGATTACCGAGGCGTTGGAAGGAGTTGAGACGGGCGTCCTGCGCCTGAGAGGCGGTGGAGACAAGGAGAATGGGGAGAATGGCTTAACACCAACGCCCCCCAAGGTGAACACTGCATACAGGGGAAGGGTAAGCGTAAAGCTTCCCCAATGCCCGCTTCGAGAGTGCGCACTCGCCAGAGTGCGAGGTTGAGATGAAAGAATATGATGACCTCACAACGGAGGAGATCAGGGACTTGATCACCCAGCGCGTGGAATATATTGGTAAAATGATCAAAAGGAGATTCCCGAGCGACAAGTACCCCAAGAGTACCCTACAGGCGGCCAACGAAGTACTGGTGTTCTCGGAGGTGGCCCTGCGGAGGTCGGAGGTGGCGGGAAGAATAGCCAAGCTTGAGGAGGATAACCACCGACTCCAACAGGAGAATGAGAGCCTGAGGGCGGAGGTAGCGGCCATGCAAAAGGAGATGGGGTCTCCAATTTTTGATGAATCTATTTCTGAATATATTAATAATTCAATTACTAAATTACAAAATTCTGTTGACCGTCTCCTTGAAATTTCTGTCTTTTCGTCCCAAAATTTACGTATGTGCTCCGTTTGCTGCTCCTTTTTGCTCAGAAGATTGGTGGAGGAGAGGGTGCACCCTGCACCACCTCCAACCACTCAGCTGATGCTGACGGAGCCCGTCGAGGGGAGATGGTCAGCACTCGGCTGGCCTCCTTAGAGGAGAGACTCCCGCCGCCTAAGAAGTTGAGGCCACCGTTGGCGGCGGACCACAGCAGAAGGAACCTGGACTGCTGTGGTCAAGAGGAAGTAAAAAAGGATGCGGCCCCGGGAGTGGCCCGGTCCCGGAGGTGGCGAAAACGCAGGCGCCGGCAGCGATCGGAACGCAGGCGCAAGCGCAGAAGGCGGTGGCCATCAGCCTGACGCTGGCCGCGAGGGAGAAGGGGATCACGTACGCCAGGGTGATCCAGATGGCTAGGAAAAAGATCCAGCTGCAGGAGCTGGGAATAAGTGGCGGGCTCACGATCCGGGAGAGCCAGACCGGGATCAAGCTCTTGGTTGTCCCAGGACTGGACAGCCCCACTAAGGCGGATGCCCTAGCGAGGCGCCTGGGCCCTCAGAAGGGGGGATGTCCGAGTAACCTAGGCCGCTTGGACTCACCAACTCAGTCGCCCGCGTCTCCCCCCTCTTCTCCTTGGAGAAGGGGTGAGGAGACGCGGGCGACCAGGAGAGGACGGAAGGATGGGGAGAATTTCGCTCCCTCTCCCGCTCTCCCAGGAACGGCGGCCCCCCTCTTGTAGTTCTATCCTGCAAAGGGGTGTGGCGGAGAGCTATACGGGTACGCCCATATAGCCATCCGCATCCGACGGGGAGCGGTACGGTGGGCACTAGGCCGCGTAGCCAGCCCCCACGCGCGGGCCATCCTGCGCACGTCTGTGGAGTCCCCGTAATACCTCGGGAGACCTCTGCCGTGGAGCCCCGGCGAGGCCGGGAAGCTGCTCGGTGCGGAATCGCGGAAGAATCCCTAAACGGAGACCCCGCGGCTTTGCATAAAGCAGTGTAGAAGGTATTCGCAGGACTTTTTTAGCGGATATTATGCCGTAAAGTGCCCGTAAGAATTGTGGGGTCCTCGGTGGTCAGCCACTGGGGGGGCCGTAAGACATGCGGGAGCCAGGTGTGAGGTCCGTTCGGCGGTGTGCCTCCTAAAGACGCCGTTGTCTGTAAAAAGATTTTTTACCTGCGTTATAAAAAAAAGGGGGTTTCGTCGTCCAAATACCGAACGTTGAATATAGAATTGAATTTTTTTTTATCGGATTTATAGCCAAACTAAAAAACTACTTGTAGGCCCAAATGGATCACCCTGTGGACAGGCTACTTCCGAGGACAGTTCATTAGAATGATATAACAATTTTGTTGGGTCAGTGTAACTGAGAAGAAGATAATTGTATATTTCCGGTATATGTTGTTTTATTTCCATCAGCAGGGCCCTATTTACCGAATTGAATACATTTTTGACATCAATTTTGAGCAACACGTCAGGCTGTTCGTAAGTTAGGAAAGAGTGTAGGACGGCTGCCTCACACCCTCCTTTTACACCGAAGCCTAACGAAGTACGGGTTCAATTTCCGAACTTAATTTTGGTAAAATATGTCGAACAGCAATTTTGGAGGCCAGACGTCGTAGTGTTCATCCAACAGCAATTGGTCTCACCCCTCCGTCCTTTTTGGTGAGGGCAATGAGGTTCGCGCCGAAAAGAATGGGAACAATTTCCGGATTGACATTACCGGAATACATAAAGTTGATTAATTTAGGGATCGAATTTACAAGTTGCTCGCCTGCATCACCCACAGAATGCGATGTTAAGTCTTTCAAATGTTGGGATGATATTCCATCCAAACCCGCAGCCGAACTTGGTTTAAAAGATAAAATGGCATCAATAATATCTTTGTTTTGAATTTGAAGGCATGCTTGCCCTGCTGTTGGTGGGTCGAGAAAATATGGGTTTACTGGAGCTGGGGGATGTTTTGTCCGTAAGACCTGAAGAGCGTCAGGGGTATCTGGTGTAAGCACGTCGTTGGAGAACAAAAGGCGAGCGACACTTTAAGATCTCCTTCACAGATTTTATTTTCGATGAGCTTGTTGCGATTACGAGGGGCATTATGTTTGATTAGATTATAAATATTTTATTATGTAAAATATTTATGATATTTTTTTGTATAAGATTGTAAAACCCTGCATGGAAAACATCTTACTCGCAGGTCATGATGATTTAGAGTTACAATGATATTCTACATAACAAAACTTGCTCATAATTATTACTTACCTATTCCCGCATCTAAATAAGACTGCTAAAAAATAGGGATAATATAATTATTTGAATTAAATAAATTATAATTATTTATTATTATAGTACCTAAAAGTACATACATTTCGTTCGATTATTTTTCATTTACTAGATGATTTGTATTTAACTTATATAATTTATAAAAACATGCGTGGATCTAAAGAAAATTTTACTAGAAAAACTGCACTCCGTCGAGTAGGTGTACAGGGTAGTACAGCTAGGAATGCGACAGGGAGATATAATTTTCTTTTAGGTTCTGTATTGGGCCGGACTTGGTATAAACGTCAACGGCGAGTATAAGTACACACTTACCTTCGATATCGGACTATAATATCGGATCTCAACATAATGTTCAACGATCTCTGCAGAACCTATCAACAGGGGCCATAAAATGAACACGACAAAGACGAAAATTATCTTACGATTCTGTTCCACTCCACACGATAATAACTGAGAAGTCGGCAGCCGGAATGGTTGATAAATTGGGTAACTCCAATGTTTAATTTTGTTGAAGATAGAGGCAAATGCTGCTGCTGAATCTAACTCGTCTGGGCAGAGTTCGGGTAAGTTCGCGATGTCTTCTCGTCCGAAATACCTCAGCTAAGTAACTTCGTTCTTGAAGAAAACAGTGCGTGTCTGAAGTGATGAATGACATTTGGAGCTGAGAAATGGTGACTATGGGCCTCATAAGAAGGCTCGGAGTCCCAGTGTCGCTCGGTGAGCGAGGTAGAGAGCTGTACTCGGTGTTCCTCTAACTAAGTGTTTGAAGCAGAAATAAGAAAATCCGTAGAACAAGAATAAACGACTTAGCTCAACGGATCACCAAAATGGACCAATGGACGTTGTGGTTCCAAGGTGATTACAATAGGGACGTCGAAGGGAGAAGCGCAATGACGGTAGGACCCTCACTAGATGGAATCACGTCATCTGACTGAAAGCGCAGGACCGGTGTGTGTGTAGGAATGCCTAGAGGAGACCTACGTTCAGCGGTGGACGTGCATCGGCTAATGATGATGATCTGAATAAATTTTGTAGAAAAAATAACAAAGTAACTCGTCTCGGCGGTGTTGAAATAAAGAACTAACTCTTTTCACATATGATTTTAGAAACTATAATACAAAGAAATTCTAGCGACATACGTTCTATACGTACTAACATATCAACACTCATAAATGGTGTTAGTGTAGGCAAAGGGCGGCCAAAATAATCTTTGGTCGGAGCGGGTGATGGGTAGGAATGGAGTCTTTTGTAATATCGATATTTATATCGAAGTCAGGAAAATATCGATATCCGATATATCGACCATTTTAACTCGATATTATCGATATATCGATATTTTTTCCTTTTTATTTTTTTTTGACATTAGAATACGGGGTGAGTGTGACACATTCATATGGTTGTTGGCGAGATTCTCGCAAAATGCATTGAGCCAGCTTTTTCGTTAAACACGCTTGATGAAATCGCGCCAAACAGGGTTTTTTTTATTGGCTCGCACGGTTTGTTTCAGCCACGACAGGAAACCAAAAAAATAAAATTATTATCCTGATCTGATCACTCACATTCGTTAGCACGAATGCGCCAACCCGCATATGTGGGACGACATTTGCGAATGCCTTCGCTAAGTTTTTACTACATTCGTGCTTTTCCAAGCTATGTCGGTTTTTTAGCGCACATCAAATACGCAAATTGCTTAGTCTCCCACACATCAGGGGCGTGCCCATGGCTTCAGAATAGGGTCAGCCCAAAGCTTCCAAAATTACTATACCTATCTTACTTTCTTGACTTGGCGAGCTTAAAAAAATTACGGTTTGTATAAGATTCTTAATTTTATTTTGTGTTATATTACAATGATATTAAATTTCAATTAATCAGTACTTGACAATTATCTAGAAAGAGAGGCAAGGATTTTATTTAAGTGCATGAGTTACCATTAGGTATACGATTGATATTCCTATATACGTTGGTGTCGATTCTGGCGTGATTATCTAAACTTAAAACTAAATTTAACATCAGTCTCTCCTTTTCATTCTGTATAAAGAAAAACAAGGATACACTATTGTCAAATTTAATTTTAGGTTTAGAGAATCATGCCAGAATCCATACCAGTTTAGTATATTTCTTGGGGTTCAAGATTTTTTCAATGCATCTATAAGCTCTTGCGATTTCAAAGCAATAGTTATTTCGATATTATTCAATTTAGATAGTCATAGCAGGTAAATTAATTGATATTATTATGTTCAAATTTAGTCTACGAAATATCGATATTTTGGATTTTCCGATATCGATATTATCGATATCAGTGAATTTTAAATATCGATATAAATATCGATATTTTGGTCTCGATATTATCGATATTCCGATATATCGTTGCAACCCTAGTGATGGGGCCTGCGTATTAGGGCGCGCCCAACGCCTGCGCGCGAAAACATAATAAGACATGACATGACCAATGCTCAAGCACGGTAATATTAGATAATATTACCGTGGCTCAAGCTAGCTACGCTAAAATATCAAGCTATACCTACCTATCTTCCTTAGCCCAGCACACCATACCTTATAAGTAGTGGAGTAATCACAAAGCTTTGCTTTTCTTAGCTTAAAAATATACCCAATAAGTTGTAAAAATAATCTAGAAACTAGATTATGCCCTAAAAAAACGAATTGACGTTATTGTGAACCGTGTATCTAGTTTAAGAGGTCAGTAGGGACGGCAAAAAATCTATAGCTTTGGGGCGGCAAATGTGTAAGTCCAGCACTGAGCAACAATAAGTCAGTGACGAAATCGAGGTTTTGTCTGGTTTTGTAGACTATACTATACCTATTAATATAATCTAAAGTATGAGATCTATGCATGTGAATCTTTATGTATAATAATAAGTTTACTTTTGATATCATACCACGAATTTAATTTAAGGTAAGAGGTTCCCTTGCGTTGCATTTGGCTCGTCTTGTCGAGGCTTATAATTACATTAATACTGATACATACCCCAACTATTCGTCCTTGGGGTAAATTTGCTACGGGATCTTGCATCACCACATATGAAAGTATGAAAATCCAAAAGACCGTTTTTCTTGCTATACACCAAATTAAAATATTAGCATAGTACCAATGAGCAAACATTATATCTGTTGGAATTAATTATCTACTATTTTTTTTAATATATTGCTAAACATCCAACTCTATCGTGTTAAAGACTTGCGTATACTGATGGATTGTTATTTATTACGCTGGTTGATCATCAGATTGGACACAATAAAAATTAGGTATACACAATGGTATTCTATAGTCCATGACGGCAACTGCGTAACGAGTGGGACTTGTCATTGTTCTAAATTCATTCACAATATGTGCTTTGTAACAATTTTGAAATACTTAAAAGTTTGCCCTAAACTCTCATAGCAAAATAATTTCTGAATAATTTTCACTGTCGTCGTTATAAATGTTTATTATTATGAGGCGTCATTGGGCTGAAAAAAATATAATTATGGTTAGTGCGCACTGAGAGACCGTGTTTCGGACCGTTAACTTCAGCCTAACAACGCTGCAGTTTAAGTATAATCTTTATTAAATATTCTGTCTAAGAATTCCCTGATTTCTTCTAAAATGTTTTGCGAATTCACATTTATTATGCTGACACATAAATTATTTGGTAGGTAAAGATAACCTAATCTTGAGTTTTAATAGTAGAACAAGGTTTAAAAAAAACAATTTGTATAGAAATATAAATAACCATACTAAGGCAGGTATTTGTAAAAATATATTTGGCCTCCAGATCCTGCAAAAGAGTAATTGCCAGAGCGAAGTCAGAGCACATTAGCAGCATTGGCGAGAGATTAATAAAACTTCCCTCTGCAAAACGCGCGTTTTCGTCTCTTGCCAAGGCTGTTGAAGGAAATTTTTGTAAGCCATCCCTTCCACCCCTGCACAATGGCGACGAATCGATGGCCCATTCTGCAAAAGAGAAAGCAAATCTTTTATGCTCACTCTTTGCGTCTAACTCGACTTTAAATGACTGGGGATACATACCGCCGACCATCCCGCGGTGTGAGAGCTCTATGCCGGAGATCCGGTTCACACAAAGCTTAGTGCGTAAAGCACTCTTTCCCTTGTCATTCACAAGTCGAGCGGGCCTGATGGAATCTCCCCAATTGTGCTGAAGACGTGTGCTCCTGAGTTGGCTCCGGTACTAACGCGTCTTTTCCGGCTCTCCTCCTCTTTAGGTGTCGTTCCGAACTCATGGAAGACAGCTTTAGTGCACCCGATTCCTAAAAAAGGCGACCGCTCACTCCCTACTAATTATAGGCTATAGGCCTATCACCTCCTTGTTCTCCAAGATAATGGAGTCTATTATAAATTGCCAGCTCCTGCGGTACCTAGAGGACCACCAGCTGATCAGTGACCACCAGTACGGTTTCCGTCAGAGTCGCTCGGCTGGTGATCTACTAGTATACCTGACTCATCGTTGGGCAAAGGCGATCGAGACCAAGGGGGAAGCATTGGCGGTCGGTCTGGACATCGTGAAGGCTTTCGATCGGGTTTGGCACAAAGCGCTTCTTTCGAAGCTTCCTTCTTATGGGCTTCCTGAAAAGCTGTGCGGTTGGATCACTAGCTTTCTTGCGGACAGGAGCATCAAGGTCGCAGTCGACGGTGCATGCTCGGACTCCAAATCCGTAAACGCTGGTGTTCCACAAGGCAGTGTGCTATCGCCTACGCTGTTTCTTCTTCATATCAATGATATGCTTCAAATTGATGGCATTCATTGTTATGCAGACGACAGCACGGGTGATGCCCTATATACCGGCCGCGCCAACATTTCACGGGAAAACGTCATCGAGTGCCGGAACAAACTTGTGTCTGAAGTCGAAACTTTGTTAAACCGAGTAACGAATTGGGGCCGACTTAATCTAGTCCAATTTAACCCTACGAAGACACAAGTATGCGCGTTCACCGCAAAAAAAATACCATTTGTCGTATCTCCTCTTTTTGAGAACACTCCTCTAACTGCCTCAGCTAGTATTGGAATTCTTGGCGTTGACATATCGAGCGACGTCCAGTTTCGGGATCATTTAGAGGGCAAGGCCAAATTGGCCTCTAAGAAGCTTGGTGTGCTCAATAGATCGAGAATGTACTTCACACCGGCCCACCGACTGCAGCTTTATAAGGCACAGGTTCGGCCTCACATGGAGTACTGCTCTCATCTTTGGGCGGGGGCACCCCAGTACCAGCTTCTCCCTTTGGATCGCATCCAGCGCCGAGCGGCTCGAATAGTCGACGACCAGGACCTTTCCGATCAGCTTTGATCCTTTGGCTTTGCGTAGGGATGTAGCTTCGCTCTGCATCTTCTATCGCATTTATCACGGGGAGTGTTCTGAGGAATTGTTCGTATTAATTCCAGCTGCTGCATTTCGCCATCGTACATCGCGGCAAAAATTTCATCCCCATCATCTTGATGCGTGGCTATCCACAACCGTGCGTTTTTGTCGAAATTTTTTACCACGTACGACAAAACTGTGGAATATGTTGTCGCCAGCAGTGTATCCGGACCGATACGACCCAAAAACCTTCAAAAAAAGAGCGTACTCCTTCCTTAAAGGCCGGCATCGCATTTGTGATACTCCTGGTGTTGCAAGTGTCCATGGGCGACGGTGATCACTTACCATCAGGTGAGCCGTCTGCTCGTATGCCCCCTATAACCATATTATGCAGCGAAAATATCCAATTTAATCCGCATAGAAGTCCGAAGCTATTCGTTCGAAACAACGTGATTTCTTTTCGAGAGATACGAAAACGAGATTTCATGAAAAAATCTTTCCTTCTTATGTCCCAAATACGTTAAAAAAATTCAATTCAAAATATTTTTCCCCTTAAATTATTATATCGAAAAAGTAGGTAACCCTTTTTCAATCGAAAAATCTCCCGTCAAAAGTTAATTTTTAAATTATTTTGGTGTGCTGTTATTGGTTCTTTGGAACCTATCTGATGGTATACAAAAAATATATATTCCTATGATTTTTTTTCTCAGAAAATGCAAATCCCACGTCGCCAAAAAAAATAATCTTATCACAAGATCTACAAAAATTGTATTTACATTAATCCTTTACCTCATATCTCTCTCGTTTTTAATGTGTTCGACCTTTTGGTACTTGGGGTTTATCCTGTTCCGATTTTTTTCTCAAAAATTATCGATCCTCGTCTACACATAAGTCATCTACCTACTTTAAATCCAGCCTCATGATAAAAACGTGTTATATATCATATCACAGTGCTCATGCTAAGCACGGTGGTACGATATATAACACGTTTTTTTCACGCTCAATTGTCAAATTACTTTGTAGTTTGACAGTTAGACGCGATAAAAAACGTGTAAATTGTGGTGCTCATGCTACGGGGACTGTAGTACTATTCTGTAAAATTTACACGCGCGGATCCGATGTAGATCCGCGCGCATTTATATCTGCAGCGCGTGGATCCACATCGGATTCGCGCGTGAAAATTTTACAGAATTGCACTACAGCTCTGTCGGTCAGTGGTGACAACCCAAATGTCTAGAAAGGGATTATATGCTCAGGGGTCTAAGGCTAGACCACGGCCCACGACCATCAAACAAAAATAAAAGGTACTCACAAAAAAGTACTTTTATGCCATGTGTTCCGACTAGGACCACCCTGCTGCCAAACCTGGTACCTACCTACTTAAATTTACTTCGCAGCAAACCCAGGGTTGTAATTACCCTGCTACACGTGGGGCATTCGTTACTTAACTATTGATTGCGTCATAGATGTTGATACAAAAGCGGCATTTCACGAGACTTCAAAGACGTTGTTGTTCCACTGTAAGTTTCTGCATTGTGGCGAAACTTTAAGAAGCATTTGTGGACTACTTCTTTTGAACACAATAAGATAACATAAAATATACTTAGTAAATCTTTATAATCGGACACAAAAATTTACAAACTTCAAAATACGACACACCTCGGCATAACGCGGCAAACAAGATATTATATTTTAACAGAACTATAAGCTATGTCCAGTTTTTTTAAAAACATTTTGTAATAATAATGAACCGGTTGATTATTAGCAAACCCAATTGTGGCCAACATTAAACCATAACCAAGTAAAATTGAGAACAATTTGTGTCTTGACAACCATTGACGAAGACCACCAACTGTAACAAAAATAAGGTTAAATTATGGTACCGTCATGAGGTTGGTAATAAAGCGCACTACATATACATGTATAAGGTAGGTATAGTAATTAGATTGAAATAGTTTTTGAGGTCCTCGATTTTGTAGTTACCTATTTTGCGTATTCTGTATACCTTTGTCGAAGTTATGCAACTTTCACATTCGCCGGTCATACGATGGATGGTCAAAAATTATTATCTTTACTTAGTTAATCCTCAATGCTTCGGAGGGTACGTTATACCGAATTCCTGGCCTCGTATGCAGCACGAAATTCACATACTAAAAAATAATTATGCATATTCCCTATTATTATTGATACACTTCTTCAGCCTAGCATTGAAGCCATGCAGTGGGTTTTGTTTGTAGCTATGACTTGATGACTTTAGAGATCATCTCATAAATAGACCTTCTACTTCGTCATCTGGATGTGCCAAGGTCGGAGGAGCATAGCCCTGAATAACATTTAACAAATATCTGTTCGATATTCGGAGTATAAGTATACTATATCCTCGTCCGCACACATCAAACGGTAATCACGCTGTTGACGATTGACAACTTAAGATAGACCAATAATATTCCAGCGTAACCTCTTTTAACACCGTTAACTTCGCGTCAGTCCTCAATGTGCGTTGGACGACTCTTGCCTGGTCGACTCGTCTGAATAGATTAGATCGATAGTCTAATATTACCCGGGCATTCTTAGCACCCCCCCGTGCTGTATACCATAGCTGCTACCATGGCTAGGACATGCAGGGTTGCCGGGGACTAGACTATAGGCCAATTTATGTTGATCCAAATAATGTTTTGGAAGGTCTTGCCTTAATCGCCAAGCTTGGCAGACGAACCATGTGGCCATATGATTAAAAAGAAAACGCTGCTGGTCGTCTGCCGCTGGCTGTGTTTCCGTAGTCACCTTTACGGACACCCTTGGGACAAGAGGGGTCTTGTCCCAAGGGTGTCGTAAAAGGTGACTGGGGAAAGGTGGGAAGGTACTATTCAAGGCAGGCATACACACGGCACGAGAAATATTAAATACTAGCTGACCCAGCGAACTTCGTACCGCCATAAAAAAATTTAATTAAAAAAACATTGTCCAGCGGACAAAATTGTGAATCTAAACCATTCTCAGATCCCCTTGAACACTCACAAAAAATTTCATCAAAATCGGTCCAGTCGTTTAAGAGAAGTTCAGTGACATACACACTCACAGAAGAATTATATATATAAAGATTTACATTATTAATTGTTTTAAAAGACAATACATACCTACTTACTTTTATTTTCTTTTTTTAACTGCAAGAAAAAAGGCAAATATCTTACTGAATTAATTTAGATTTCTTACCATTCCGACCATTGACGGACGTTGTTGGAAAACGCATGGAGGCAGGTTGTTTTGCATACACCAACAGGTACCTTAATCTTACTAAATCACAATTAGTTACAATGTACTGTGATAAATTTTGTCCTTCGAGGGCAGGATCGGACACCAATTGGTTTTTGTCATCTGTATAAACACCATCCCCTGTGGACAATATTCATTACTTATAAAAAATATATAGAATTTTAAATGTAAAGAAGATTTCACTAGAAAAAAATCCACGCGGACCAAACAGCAGACAGGACTCGAATTATAAGAATAATAATGATATGAATTATGTTACCGCGGCCCTGATGGCCATGACGATTTTTCTCTATTATTTCAACAATGTCAAATTAATGCCTTTACAAGTATTAAATATTTGAAAGAAGAAATAGCAATTATAGTTATATTTTGATTTTAATCATTTAATTGCTAGATGTTTACACCTAAAGAAAATTTTACTAGAAAAAAAATCACGCATTCCAGGCAGCAGACGGGACTCGGAACCCGCACCCTCCGCTCAGGGCAGCTGCCCCCCCCCCCCCCCTAGAAGATAAAATAAACGTCAATTTTCCTGGCAAGTGGGAATTAAAAACGTGTTACCTACTCTGCGCAAAATGAAGTGTTGGAAACAAAACATCTTTTCAGTCAGATATTTAGATTTTTTTATCTATAATTAAATATTCTACAACATTCGATATAATAGCGACGCAATATAATTTATATCTTCCGCGAAACCGTCGTATCTCGTAGTTTCCGCTCCCGTCGAGATAATCAGAGCCATCTAGGATTAAAGCCGAATATAATTTGGAGAAAACAACGTCTAGCGCTAGCGCTATCTACACACATCAAAAGTGTCTAGGGATCAACATATATTTTTGCAATAACTTTTCTCCTGATTGATATTAATTAAAATTTTCTTTAAGGATTCATCAAATAAAGTGTTTTCGTTTGTCACAGTAACGATAAACCAAGTCACCTTTGCATTAATAAAGAAATTTGCCATTTTCCTAATAAAGGGATTTTTGACATTTGAACCACTAACACAAAAGTTCGAAAAAAAGACTGAAATAACAGTTTTCTCTAAAATTTTATTGGGTAACTTAAACAATTAATAATCCGTATTTCTACCGCGAACACTAACAACACAAGAACATCGGTTTGGCATACTCAAAATGAGTTCATCCAAATCACGCTGTGGAATGGCCGCCCATGTTCGTTGCAACAACAAAAAAAGGTCTTCTTGCGACTGGATACCCTCCATATTCGGCAGAGCTCTTCTCTGTAGTATATCCCATGCATGCTCAATCGGGTTCAAGTCTGGCGACTGAGCAGGCCAGGGCAGGACATTGATGTTAGCTGCGGCGAGAGTCTGTCTTACAACTCTTGCGGTGTGCGGTCGTGCATTATCATGCATTAACTGAAATAAGGGACCGATTTGCACTTGTAGAGGAACGATGACGTCTGATACAATCGTCTCAGCATAAATTTGAGCGTTGAGGTTGCCTCTGATCCAAATCAACTCAGTTCTTCCGCCGATCCAAATACCCGCCCATACCATGATGGTTCCACCACTATAAGGATGGACTTCCTGGCAGGATTTTAATCGCTGTTGGCGTCCAGGGGTTCTCCAGTGTCGTATACGTCTTGTATCCGGTCTCATACCAAAACGAGACTCATCAGAAAAGCACACGAAACGCCATTGTTCTTCTGCCCAATTTCTGTGTTCAAGAGCCCATTGATATCGAATCCTACGATTGTGCATTGCTATAGGTGGTACCCGTAGCGGTCTTCGGGAATGAAGGTTCACTTCATGCAAGCGGTTTCTGACTGTTTGGTCGCTAATTAAGTTCCCTGAAGAGTGATGAAGCCTCACGGCTAACATCATGGCGGTTATTGTTGGAGCTCTTCGAGTTAAGATTTGAATGTATCGGTCTTGTCTCCGTGTGGTGCAGCGATACCGTCCTCCATGGCGCTCAGCCACGGTACCAGTGCTTCGGTATCGTGTCCAAAGTCGACTGATAACACTCTGACTTGTATTCAGAGCTAAAGCCACAGTACGTTGCCGGGAACCAGCTTCTATCATTCCCACGGCTCTGAGCATTTCTTCCCTGCTTAAATGACGTCGCCGCTCCATAATAACGTTGGTTTTAATCAGTAGTAGGGAAACAGCAGCACTAATAATGTCTTCAATGCGTTGTATGTTTTTATAGGGAAAATATTGACAGCTGATTTTCATCTTTTACTCGAATTTGATTCACAGTTCCTGATTCAAATTATGAAATGCACCAAAAAGGATCCATATAAATTTATGAAATCATAAATTTATTACAAAGCCACATCTCAATCTCAAGAAATACGCATAAAAATGCTTGATCCCTAGACACTTTTGATGTGTGTAGTTACGGACGACGACACTCGATAGTGCTTTTTCCAGTAAAGAAGAACGTTCTAGCATGGACTATTGTGGAAAGTAAAGACAGTGATAGCAAGTATGACACACGGATGGCAACAGAGTCGAGTATTTTCTGCGTATTTCGGGAGCGAGAATATTTGAATATATAAGCGCGATCGTGAGGCAGAGCAAGGCAATTCAGTTCGAAATTTCGAATACAATTCAATTTAGTTCGGAGTTGAATACGAGCGAATATTTAATGCGCCATAATAGTGTCTTATAGTTTAGTTGCGACGACACGAGATTTACGTTTACTGCGCAACAACTGGAAAGATTTACTCCGTCAAATGGATATCAGGAATTTCTTTGAAAAAGGTGAGTCAAAACAAAACACATATGTATGTACCTAATATGATTATTTGATTTGTTTAAGGGGGGCTCTCTTGTAAGTATATAGGAAGTAATTGATATTTGAATGTGATGTTTTTATAGGTATCTTAATCTTTATTTATTACCACGTTTTTATTAAGTCCGTTTCTTGTCTGTTTGTCTGTTCGGTACAAATCTGGCAATTGATTTTAAACTAACTTCCCGATCTCCGGATGAGCTAGAGACTTGAAATTTTGACTGTAGGCCAGAAGTGGATGACAATACAATATTAGATTGTTTTCTTGTGTATTTGTCTGTTCGGTACAAATCTTTCAATTGATTTTAAACTAATTTCCCGATGAGCTAGAGACTTGAAATTTTTCGACTGTGGATAACCAACACAAACGTATGCTCTTGAAGAAAAAAAATTGTTTTCTTATTATTATCTAACGTAATTGTATTTGTAGACTTCACGTAATTACGTTTTATGTGCTATCAGTGGTGATTATATAAAGTGTTTCGGAAAAACAAGTGTTTTTAGTGAAATCGGACGTAAAATTAGTGCACTCACAACTGTCTACGACCACCCGTCAATATTTTTAACGAACGGCTCGTTTGTTGAGAAACTAAAATCGCCGTTGTGTACGTCTTACTACGGTGTATTTCATTGAGACAGATCAGCTGGATAACAAATAAAAGTGTGAATTGGAACTTCCTATATTGGAGCTGAATATAGAAAAATGAAGTGTATGGGCTGCAATGAAGTGACCGACGACAATAGTTGTTTAAAATGTAATGCTTGTAAGTCCCGTTATTGCTTACCGTGTCTTAATATTAAGGCAACTAATAAAACTGCTACGATCTCTGCGGAGCAACTGTCTTCCTTGAAGTGTCCATCCTGCATGAACGTCTCCCGCAGGGTACGAGGAGATGACACACCTACCAAAAATAACTTAACTCCGTGTCTCACAATGTCTTCTACCAACATAAACAAGGATCTTACAATCGATAAAATTAGTGCTTTATTTGACGAAAAACTTGCTCCTTCATCAAGCGTCATGCAAAACCTTCGTAGCGGACTAACTGAGGATGTGAAGAATATTATCTCATCTAAAATGGGCAAAATTGTTAAGGATCTGAAGGAGGAATTCACAAGGACAACGGATTTTATAATGGAAGAGGTTAAAGAATTAAAAGGAAAAGTGGAAGTTCAGTTTGGTATGATCGAAACCCTCCAAAGTGAGAATACTGTTCTGAAAAAGGAATTTGATGTACTGCGCGGCCGTTTCATCAACCTAGAAAAAATGTCACGTGACCGAAATGTTGAGATTCAAGCTGTGCCCGAGTCACATAGTGAGAATGTTTTGACCATCGCAAAAAATCTGTGCGAATCTATCAACTTGCCAATTAATGATACTGATATATATGCTTGCCGTCGTGTTGCTAAAATGGACCCCTCATCCAAGAGACCCCGTAATATTGTTTTAACATTAACATCGCCCCGTCTTCGTAATGCAGTGATCTCTGCTGCTCGCCGCTTCAATAAAGACAACAAGGATTCTAAACTAAACACCACACACATCGGTGTTCCTGGAGAGATAAGTCAGATTTTCATATGTGAGCATCTTTCACCAGAGACAAAGCAGTTATATTCTATCGTCAGGCAATTTGCAAAAGATAAAGGTTATGAATACCGATGGGTCACTCATGGTTCGATATATTTGAGAAAGAATGATACATCTGAAGCCATTCTGGTAAAAAACGCGGATTTTTTAAAGAAACTGGTTTGATTTATATATTTTTTAACGTTATTTTTAAAACCTCAATTAAATATTGTAAACAAATTTATCATTATATTAATCCTAATTTCAAAACACTTAAAAATATACTGTTCCTAAAAATTGTATTCAAAATCACTATTCATTATTGTTATCCTATTTTTGTTTTCTCACCATTGATAATGCATGGAACATTATTGGATTTTTATTGTTGTATAGTATTTGTTCTTAAGAATGGAATGAAAACTTGCTTTGGTTATTTGTTATGTGATTGTAATCAGCCTAAATTTCTATGCAATATAACAAAACCATGTTATTCAAACATATTTAATACTTTGCTAGGTAAACAGACTGTTTCTATGTTATATGTTATGATAAATAAAACAATAATAAACTTTTTCACACTTATAATGCATGTTTTACTAACTCAAAGTTATAAAGATTACATAATTGATATGTTTAAGAATAAATATATATTTTTTGTCATAAATTATATCTCTCACAAGGGGTTATGCAACTATTCCATCTTGATTAGGCATGATTTACTAACACAAGGTGGTTCAAGGAAAACGCAGAACAGAATATTAAATCCAATCCAAAATACATATGGAAATACGTTA